TTAATAAAATGAAAAAGAGTCAAAAGGTATTATTGAGGGTTCTACATATTGTAATTTTGAACTCCTGTTTTAATAAGGTTGTTGTTTTGTATACGTTCACACAGGGGCGAAGCCAGCCTATTTAATTACTGGGTGCACTCTTGTTAATAAAATGAAAAAGAGTCAAAAGGTAATCTCGAACTTGGGTTGCCATCAGGGTGCCAACACCGCTTTACCACCTGTTCTAACTGATTTTACATGTTTCTTTACACGAAAATTACATTATCAATTAATATTGAGGGTGCACAGGCCCCCAAAGTGGATGACGTGGCTTCGCCCCTGCGTTCACACATATATAAATTTCTTGATTGGTGTTGGAAACAATAGAGACTGATGCAACCAGGGGTGGACCGAGGATTTACGATGTCATATATGTGTAATGTGTCAAAAATTATATGGGATATTAAGGCCTAAAAAGATAGGAGGAAAAAAAAGAATGATCGGTGTCATACGTGGTTGAACTCACGTATGTGGGGTCAACAAGCAAGAAATCAACAATCTGTTCCAACTTTGAAGTTTTGTATATTCTTTAAACCATGCATTTAGGACATCTTTACCGCAGATGTTGAGGGGATTTTTAGTGTAGACCCCACAAAAAAAGCAGAAAACTCTTTGTTTAAGTCCCCCAAAAAACACTAATTTAAGTGAATTCTTTGCACTATTTGCCGGTTTCACTTACACATAACGATATATAACCGATGGTTCGCTTTTTATTTCTTATTTTTGAATCAGAAAAAAAGTTAAATAAGAATCCCAAATTGGTTTCATGGGATAAAGATGTTTTTATACATTAAAGAGGTGTCAAGTGAACTCCCTTTAGGTTTAACGTGATCCGCCAATGCAATTACACTCATTTTACATATTGTAATTGCTATCAACCTGGTCGAATTATTCGATTTTCATCACACATATTGGCATTTGGCTAAGTAGGAGTTGAATTATGTAAGCCTTAAAGTTTAAGTCTTAGTACATTGTTCTAATACCCATGCTACAAATTTAAGGCTTCATAATATTCAGAGGGACATTACTTATATACTAAACATTATTTTTGGAAACTTCAATATGAAATTTTGATTGATATTTCATCAACAAGTTTCCTCAGTTCCAGTCCACCATTTTCTTTTACTATATAGAAGAATCCTTATTTAACATGTCTAGCTTACTTAGAGCATGTTTAATGCAATCCCTTAACAGGGTGGCTTAGAATAAATGAGATTAAAAAAAAAGATTAAATGAGTGATAAACCAAAGCACGCCCCTTCGGCAAGGGAACGAAGGCACGCCCCTTCTGGCCACGTGTCATCACCTGAATGGCCTGAAGATCGGTGGAGTCGGGATGTTTATTTTTTTTTTCATTCTTTCTTTCTTCGTTCTCTCTTCCTTCTCTCTCCTTTGCCGATGGCGAAAGGCGATTTTTTCACTATCGGTGGTTCTCCTCGGTGAACGGTGTTGCTCTCGGTGGTGACGAAGGAAAACGGCGTCCCTGCTTAGGATTCGTCTCATCGATCGACGAAAACGGCGGTCTCTTTGGTCGAGTTTGTTTCAGAGACGGAGGAAAACGATGGGTCGGCGAATCCGAAGAAAAGATGAGTTGCATGTCTTTTATTTGGCTATGAGTCGAGAGATTTGTTCTTTATTTTCCTGTCTTTGATTTGTTCTACACTCATCTGTATTTGATTTGTTCTCATGTTCTGTTTTTTTGTTTGCAGATGTCTTGCAGACGATGAAGAGGTTAAAGTTGGTAGACAAAACCCCCACCCCCCCCCCCACGAAATTTTGTAAAGGTAAAACTCTGTCTTTGATCTTTGCTCATGGTCTTGTTAATTCACAAATAGGTGGTTACCGTTATTGATTCATCGTTGTGGATAAAATCAATGTGTTTGTTTTGTGGAATTGGATTAACCATTTTACTCTTCTTTGAATTGGATTAGCCATTTTACTCTTCTTTGAATTAAATAACTCAACATTTTTGCTCTTGGTTTGTTGTTATAGAAATTTGTTGCTATTATTATTGATTTTTAAGTTGGTATAAATTAGATATAGGCACTGTCTTTGGCGTTTGATCTGAATTGAATCATAATTCGATTTTTAAGTTTTGGGTTGTCGTTTGAAATGAATTGAATCCCAAATAATGTGTTAGGTTGGTAATAAATAGCTTTTGAGGTGGTTAGACTGAATAATGGTTGTCTTAAATACAAATGGAAGGTTTGTTTGATGAATGGGTAACGGATATATGTCATGTCCGTTGCGGTTGGTAAAAATCAATGCTCTTCCTGTGTCTTTGTGTATAAAAAATCCTTCTTGTCTTTCTCTTCTTTCTTTATCTCATTGCAAACCGTGCAACATCAAAAATCTTCCTTCTCTCCTTTCTTTATCTCATTCCAAACTTTCTTCATATGGATTCCTATCCATCGGCTGGTCCTTCAAGGTTTGTTGAACTATTGAATAGTCAACAAACTGTTACTTTTGGTAACTATGAAGATAGTGTTCAACTATCTTCATCACAGCTTCCATTTCTTGGTAGTGAAGGTACTGACGCCTCAAACTATGAGGGAGACACTGCCACAGAGCCAAAAGTGCGACAGAAATGGAAAGAACAGGAAGATATTTTGCTCATCAGTGCATGGTTAAATACTAGTAAAGATCCGGTGGTTGGCAACGGGCAAAGAGGAGGAGCATTTTGGTCTAGAGTTGCTGCCTACTTTCAGGCAGCTGCTCGGGATACTGGCTCGGAACACAGACAGGCAAGGCACTGCAAGCAGCGTTGGCACCGCATCAATGACCTAGTCTCCAAATTCTCTGGAGCGTATGAGGCTGCTACTAGAAAGCTCAGTAGCGGTCAGAATGAAGATGATGTCTTGAAAGAAGCTCGTAAAATATTTGAAAAAAACCAGAAGAAAAATTTCTCTCTCGAGCATGCGTGGCTAGAACTACGGTACGACCAGAAGTGGTGTGCCCTTGGTACTGCTAAAAAGGCTGCGAGCTCGAGGAAGAGGACTTGTGAGGAAGGTGCAGAGACAGAGGGTTCTCAAGCAGATGTTTTGAAGCGTCCACCAGGTGTGAAGGCTGCTAAGGCAAGTGGTAAGAAGAAGGTTGAAGCGGATAATAATCTCAATAAGTTTGAGACTATGTGGGCTATCAAAAAGGCAGATTTGGAGGCGAAAGAGAGGTTGTCTAAGATGGAAGAGAGGTCGACTAAGATGAAACTGCTGGAAAGTCTTCTCGCCAGAGGAGACAAAATTGCTGATTATGAAGAACCACTCAAAAAGAAGCTCATAACCGAGTTGCTCGTAGATTAAAGTTGCTGTCTTTAAGTTTAATGTTTCATGTTTAACTATTTGTGTTTCATGTTTTCATGTTTAATGTTTTCTTTTCTTGTTCTGTTTCAAGTTTATGTACTCGGAAGTGTAATGTTTTCATGTTTAATGTCTAATTTAAAATCTAATGTTTTCATGTTTGATGTCCAATTTAAAGTTTAATGTTTTGTGTTCTTGTTATGTTTCATGTTTACTTGTTGTTCTTAACTTTAAGTAAAGTCTAATTTAAATGTTTTGTTAATGTTTCAGGGGGAGACAGAGGAAGGATCTGGAGTGGAGATCGGGTGAAAGAGTAGGAGGAGACAGAGTCTCTACAGAACGGAGAGGAGGATCTGTGTGTGTGGTTGTTGTACTCGTGTGTCACGAGATTCTTAGGTAGAGTGTGTGTGTGTGTGTGTTTAGGTATACTGTGTGTGTGATTGTTGTACTCGTGTGTCACGAGATTTTTAGGTAGAGTGTGTGTGTGTGTTTAGGTAGACTGTGTGTGTGGTTGTTGTACTCGTGTGTCACGAGATTTTTAGGTAGAGTGTTTGTTTGTGGTTATACTCGTTTGTCTTTGTGTGTCACGAGTTCTTGTATGTGATTTAATATATATGTCACAGCCGAGCACTCATTCGAAAACACTCATCTTTTTATTCTCTCTACAAAACAACTCATTTCTCCATTCTCTCAATTTTATCTTCTCATACGAACACATATTTCTCAAACACATATCTTCTCATAAAAACAAATCTATCATGGCATCTTCTTCACATCACAATGAGGAAGGATCACATCACAGTGAGGAAGGATCACTTGATCAAATGTTCGATGAATTTTTTGATCAACAATTTGATCAAACGTTTGACAGTTTGTGCAATATGTATGGTGATCAAGAAAAAGAAAGGAGGCCAAGGAAAAAACGAATTTTTATCGAGAGAAATCGTGAAGAAGGCCATATGCGTTTATGGAATGATTATTTCAGTGAAACTCCAACATATCCGCCAAATCTTTTTGGCGACGATTTAGAATGAACAAGCCATTGTTCATGCATATTGTTGAGCGTCTCACCAATGAAGTTCCATTCTTTCGACAAAAAAGAGACGGTCTCGGAAGGCTTGGTCTCTCTACACTTCAAAAGTGTACAGCAGCAATTCGTGTGTTGGCATATGGTTTTGCGCTTGATGCGGTCGACGAATATCTCAGGCTCGCTTCAGCCACCACTCGATTATGTCTAGAAAATTTTGTCGAGGGAATAATTGATTTGTTCGGCGATGAGTACCTGAGAAGACCAACACAGGCTGATCTGCAACGTCTACTTGATGTTGGCGAGTATCGTGGATTTCCCGGTATGATAGGAAGCATCGACTGTATGCACTGGGAGTGGAAGAATTGTCCCACCGCTTGGAAAGGACAATATTCTCGTGGTTCAAAACCACCCACAATCGTTTTAGAGGCGGTCGCTTCATATGATCTTTGGATATGGCATGCGTTTTTTGGAGCTCCAGGTACCTTAAATGATATCAATGTTCTTGATCGCTCACCTGTTTTTGATGACATAATAGATGGTCAAGCACCGATAACGAATTTCTCGGTCAACGGAAAAGAGTATCATTTGACTTACTATCTCACCGATGGTATTTATCCGCAATGAGCTACTTTTATCCAATCTATTTCACTTCCGAAAGAGCCGAAAGCAGCTTTATTTGCTCAACATCAAGAAGCTGCCCGCAAAGATGTCAAACGTGCTTTCGGAGTCTTGCAAGCACGATTTGCCATTATTAAAAATCCAGCACTTTCTTGGGATAAAGTCAAGGTTGGGAAGATTATGAGAGCATGTATCATACTCCATAATATGATAGTAGAAGATGAACGAGATGGATACACTCAATTTGATGTTTCGGGTTTTCAACACGGAGAAGACAACGGAAGTTCACATGTCGATCTCAGCTATTCTACAGATATCCCTACAAATGTCGCCAACCATATGGATGGTCGATCAAGAATTCATGATAAAAAAACGCATCAACAACTGAAACGGGATTTGGTTGAACATTTATGGCATAAATTTGGACATTCTCAAGACAACAACTGAGTTCGATGCCTCTTTCAAATTATTATCGTTTATGTTTTTATGTTTCTATTTTAAAATCTATGTTATGCTTAATATGTTATGTTTGAACTTGTTTTATTAAATAAATAAAGTTCATCTTCTTAAAAAAAATATTTTTAAAAAATATTATTTTTTATTCTTAACAACTTTCATTAAGGGACTTGCAATAAACCATTACAATTTAAGTATCCCTTAACAAAGTTCCTTATCTTAGTTTTAATAGTTAACAAATCACAAAGGCCCACTTAAGGAACCCTTAATGGTTTTTGCAATAAACATGGTCTTAGAGTACCCAGTACCGTAAGACTCTCATGAAAGTCTCTAACTAAAAAAAATAATTTAAAAAGTTAAAGTGAAAGAGAGACAACAAAAAAACTGAAAATCGTCTTTACAGATCACTTTTTCTCAAGAGATTGTAAAGCCAAGTGTTAGTCCTTTACTGATACAACTTTTTTTAAAAAAAAACAAATCTTAATTACAGAAAAAAAATTTCTAAAATATTGATAACAGTGGTTAGTTATTCAGTTAAAGAAATTCACCACTAATGTTGCTCTTACAAGCTTTTTCCAATAAAAAATTGTTGCATAGTCTTTAAACTCTGGATCTAATCATTGGAAAGGATGAAAATAAAATGTCTAAAACGCTATCACTGAATAAATAACTGAGTGAATTAGAATTAAGCGGCTTGCAAAAGAAAGAATTAAGTGAGCACGCATCCAACAAACACGATAACATATCCATGATGAGTACAAACATGATGAAAGAGATTGAATCACCTTACCTCACAAAAGCGGGCCTATGTGCGTGCATTGACAACCTTTAATTAATATCGATTTTGTTTGTAAAGCTAGTGCAATAAAAATCAACAGTAGCTCTGGTGGTTTTATTCAAATCAGATGATCCGATCCCTCTAAACCAGGGTCTGTTATCTCAGACCTCTCATTTCAAAAAAAAAAGATAAACTATTTACGACCACATTGAAAGATGCAGAATAAATCTTGAAGAAGAAGGTCCGGAGTATGGTCCGGTTTGGTTTGTAATCTTGAAGATTGAATCTCAGGTCAACTTGGGCCTTAAATTTATAACGGGCCCAAATTATAACGGGCCCAAATAATAAGAGTCGCTAAACCCAACCCTCATAAGACAACTATTCAACCCCCGTTTTATTCTCTGCTTCTTCATTTTCCATCTGCGCAATCTCTCTCAAACTCCCTTTATCTTTGTCGATTAATTTCTCTAAGGTAATCTTCTTCGAATTTTTCTCTTAGATCCCAAAATCGTGATTACGCACCCGTACGATGGTGTCGTAAAGTTTCTTAATATTCTAAAGCTTTTATCGATCTCAAATTGCATAGAGTTAGCACACATACTCAGATCCAGCCCTAATTTTGAGGCTTTTTGATGAAGGGCATAAATAATTTTGGATCGAAATGATAATTTTGATGAAAAGTCTAAAGCTTTAGTTTATTTTTTTTATTTGAGTTCTGTTTTTTATCAAATGGTTTGTTTTTATTAGTATGTATGTTTTTTAGATGAGTACCTCACTGTATTGGTGATGCCTTGAGTTGTAATGTGGTTTTGTTTTGTTTTTTGTGTGGATATGGTTAATTGCAGATAATGTTGACTGAAACTCCATTTAGGCCAAGAGAGAAGCTTCTGGAGAAGCAGAGGTTGTTCCAGAGCATCCAAAGGCACACTTACCTCAAAGGGCCCATGGACAAGGTCACTTCCGTTGCCATTCCTCTTGCCTTGGCTGCTTCTTCTCTCTACATGATTGTAAGTTTATGTTCAATTCCTTTGTTTTTTTTTCTTTTCAGAACTATGTATTCATGCTTGCTTATATTGCTATGTTTTCGTCAAACCTATTCTTGCTAGTTACTCTGTTTATCATCTAAACTATGGAAAGATTTGTGTGGATGGGTGGATATACAGGGAACAGGAATCTACAACATGTCGAATGGAATCGGGAAGAAGGAATAAGCAAGAAAATAGCTTCTTCTTTTTATTTACTCTTTTTGGAGGGTTTTCTCTATGTGTATCCAGTTGCTAGCATATGTGGTTGCAGACTAAAGGTTGCACTCTTCTTTTTTTCTTGCATTTTGCCAAATAATTGCAGACAATGTGATATGAAAGATGTTTGATGGTATAAAGCTCCAGTGTTTGGATGCTCTTCATTTGCTAATGACAAAATTTAATATTTTGTTCCGCCTTCGAGTTAGTATGTATTAAGTGTGTGATCTATTCACATGATTTGAGTTGCAGTTTTAGGTTTGGTGATGATGTTGTTGTGTCCTACTTACCAGACAATGCAAAGGAAGAATCAAGTCATATAACTTGAGGTTTTTTTTCAATAAAAACTTATTCAAATACAGACCAATTGAGACTATAATTTTGATGTTTTATTTGAAGTTCAAAAAAATTATGTTCTATTTATTTTGAAGTTATATATCAGTCTGATTTGTATGAAGTTTTATTTCCAAAATCTGATTCAAATACAGACCAACGAGACCATAATAACGTTCATATTTTCCATAGCAATTGTTTTTGGAACCCTTGTTACTTTATTTCGAACGAATATATAGAAAACAGTAAGACCGGCCCAGTTGATATAACACTCTTTAACCCAAACCTAAAAAGAGGCTTCAACAACGGACGTTGGTTCGGTTCTGTCATCCTCCTCCTTCTCTCTCGTCTCCGTCGATTTAATTCCTCCAAAAAGGTAAGCTTTTTCCGATTTCCCTCTTTCACTAATCTTGCTGCGCATCTCTCCAGTCACGTCGTTTCGTTTCTAAAAACCCTAAAGTTTCTCCCTTTTTAAAGACTCGTGTCGACCTCAAAATCACAGACATTGATAAAACCCTAATTGCTCCCTTAATCTTGTAAACTGTAGATTAAAAATGCCAAAGATTAAGACAAACCGAGTCAAGTACCCAGAAGGTTGGGAGTTGATAGAGCCTACTCTTCGTGAGCTTGATGCCAAGATGAGAGAAGGTTTGTTGTTTTAGATCCGCTAAAGTGTACTTTTTGTTTTTTTTTTACCTTTTGATTTTGATCTTTTTAACTATTTATTTGTTTCTTCTTTGTTGCAGCTGAGATGGATGAACATGATGGCAAGAGAAAGTGTGAAGCTTTATGGCCAATCTTCAAACTCTCTCATCAGAGGAGTCGCTATGTTTATGACCTTTATTACCGTAGGGAGGAGATCTCTAAAGAGCTCTATGAGTTCTGCTTGGACCAGGGCTATGCTGATCGTAACCTCATTGCCAAATGGAAAAAGGTGCCTTCTTTCTTTCTTTCTTGATTCAATTTTTTTTTATGTTTTTGCACCTTGTTGTACTTAGTAGTTGTTTGAGGCCGAACTTGAAGCGATTTGGAGGTTTTGTAACACTTTAGGAGCAAGAGATTGAATTTAGGATAACAAAGAAGTAACACTTTAGGGTCTAGTATTGCACAATGGGTCTTGAAGCTGTTATTGTAAATGAACTTCCTTGGAACCATCTTACAAACTAAAACAAGGTTCTGGAGTTGAAACTGTTGTTTTCTTGCTTAGGGAACTACAATGCTGGTATTATACTTATTGAACAAAAGAATGCTTCATTTAAGGGGTGTTATTTCCTTTTGTTAAATGTGCTAGTATTTCATTAGTTAGATACAAGTCTCCATCAAGCTTTTCCAAATCCTGAATAGCTCTATTATGGCCACCAATACCTTCTTGAATGATGGGATCTCTTGAAGCTTTTATCAACAAGATATCCAGACCATTGGTCTAGATTTTACTTTTGTTTTCTTCTTGCAGAAATATGACTCTTTGTTAGTTACTAAACTCTCTCTGTTTTTGTGAATTGCAGTCAGGATATGAACGTTTATGCTGCTTGCGATGCATACAGCCAAGAGACCACAACTATGGAACAACATGTGTATGTCGTGTTCCAAAACACTTGCGTGAAGAGAAAGTGGTTGAATGCGTTCATTGCGGTTGTCAAGGATGCGCTAGTGGCGATTAATCTCTCACTCTTTTTTTTTCTTCTTTTACAAACTCTCACTGTTACTATCTTGTCAAATCTGGATTATGTACCCTGAAGTCCTGTCTAAATTCCCAATGCAAAAACTTTTACTTTAGCAGCACTAACTTGTTATAAAAATCAGAAAGAAGTTCCCGGTTTGGTTTATAAATGTATTAACAGAATGGTTCTCGGTTATATTTGGGTTTAGTATTAACCAAACCAATCAAAATGAAAACGAGTGTTATCTAGGGCAGGGCAAAAAAACTGAACCCAAAAATCCGAACCGATCCGAAGACATAAGTACCAAATAAATCTTGTTTTACGGTATTTTGGGTTGTGGGTTTTATCCGAACTGAATCCGAACTTAAATGGATATCCGAAAGAACCCGAAATTTTAAAATTTCAAAGAAAACTTGTATCATATCCAATCTAAATTTCTAATATATTTCCAAAACACATTAATATATTATTAAGTACCTACAATAATTAGTTATTATATGAATAATTAACTTAAATACTTAGTCTAATATATAATTTTATCGACTAATATTAATGTTTATGATTGACATTACATTTGAAGTTAAGTTACGAATATTTTTTTTTTGAAGTTTAAATAATGTTGTCTTTAATGTTTATACAATTGTAAGTTGTTAATTTTAAATTTTTATGTTTCATTATATATGATTTTCGTTCATACAAAGATTTGATTTGTCATTAATCATAAAATGTTTAGTGTTATCACACATAGTTCACTGGCAAATTTTATATTGTTGGTAAACGAGTTTCACAATATTATTTTGATGGAAAACAAGATGGGTTGAAAAAGGTAAATACAGAAATTTAATAAAATGATTGAAAATATATTGAGTTTAGTTGAGTATAAATTAGTATTTTTATAACCGATAACCCGATTAGTATCCAAAATAGAAACTATTTCAGGTTCAACCGAATCTTGGACATGTTACTAAATCCAAACCTAATCTGACTAAATCCGAACCGAATCCGATCAGAATTTTTATAATATCTGAATAGGATTGAAATTCATGAACCCAAAAATCCGAAACCCGAATGAACCCGAACCGAAATCCGATTGGGACCTCGATTGTCCAGCCTGAGAGTTATCTGTTAAAGAGAAATTAGAAGGCAGACTCCAGGGGTGGTATTCTAAAACTTTATCAATGGGGGCTAAGGAAGTCTTAATAAAATCGGTTGCTTTACCTCTCCCAATATATGTAATGTCAGTTTTTTGATTACGAAAAGATCTTTGTGAACGAATTACGAGTGCAATTATTGAATTTTATGTGGAGTAGTGGGGATAAAAAAAAGAAAGATCCCATGGATTCATGGGAAAAATTGTGTAAACCAAAAGAATAAGGGGGGTCTAGGATTTCATGATATTGGTCGTTTCAATCAGGCTTTGCTTGAAAAACAAGCTTGGTGAATTTGGAATAATCCTGATTCTTTGGTCTCACGCGTTCTGAAAAGCAAATATTTCAAAATGGAAATTTGCTGGAGTGTGGTATGGGAACACGCCCATCATATGCATGGCGAAGCATCATGCATGGTAGAGAATTGCTAAAAAAAGGCCTATATCGACATATTGGAAATGAGGTTGATACCAATGTTTGGGCGGAAAACTAGATTATTGATACCATTCCCCGGCCACCAATGTATCGGGAAGATAGCTCCACAGATTTAACACTAAAAGTATCGGACTTATTTATTCAGGGGTCAAATCAGTAGAATATCAATTTATTGCATCAAACTTTTACGGCACAGGATGTCCAACGAATTTTACTTGTGAAACCATCATTGCTCTTTGAAGATACAATCCGATGGGGTTTCACATCGAGTGGATCTTATTCGACTAGGAGTGGGTATAAGTTGCTAGAGGCTTTGGTTGAGTTTGATCATCCTTCAGGTCCTTCCCTCACTCCTATTGAGAAAAAATTATGGCAAGAAATATGGAAAGTTAAGGCCCCACCAAAAATAAAACATTTTATGTGGCGGGCTCTATTTGGTGCTTTAGCGGTTAAACAACGTTTGGCTACTCGGGGTATTCCGATAGACACAATATGTTCGGTTTGCGGTAATGAGGTAGAGAGTATATGTCATGTTCTTTTTACATGTACGAAAGCTCGTACAACATGGCAGCAAGCTAATTTCCCATTACCTTTAAGTTGTTTGTCTTGGAATTCAACATTTTTAAATTTTGTACACCTCATCAAGATTGCCAATAACAATACCACGGATGTCATATGACGAATGTATTTCCATGGCTGTTATGGAAAATTTGGAAAGCTAGGAATAATTTCGTTTTCCAAACCAAAGATATTGAGCCTTCATTTATTGGTAAGAGAGCTTTTGAAGAAGAATCAACATGGTTTGATACATTTACAGGAACAAAAGAGATTGTCAATGATGTTCCTACTAATATGATTAGATGGAGAAGACCTCCTCGTGGGTTCCTTAAATGTAATGTTGGGTCTTCATGGTTAAACTTGAATTGTCATAGTGGTGCTTCATGGATCCTGCGCGACGAAAATGGATGTACAATCATGCATAGTCGTCGGGCTTATTCTTATATGCACACAAAAACAGAGGCGGATTTGTGGTCTCTTTTTTGGACAGTGGAATGCATCCACAATTTGCATTTTTCGAATATTATTTTTGAGACTTCCTCGGAGAACCTCCATGACGCATTCATAAATCCGAATGAGCATCCCAGTCTCAGTCATATCCGTCATAACATCTCCTTTTTACTCGACCAGATTACTTTTGGAGTTTAGATCACGCATTACCAGAACGTAGTGAAGCTGCGGACGTTATTGCAATAAGTGTCACTCGCGATCAGCGCCACCAGTCCTACATCGCCCGCAATGTTCCCGTATGGTTACATCACCTCCTCGCTTTGGAGGCTCAGTGATTAGAGGGTGGGTGAAATTTTATCTCATTTATGTTTTGATGTCTAATGATATCTCCTCTTTTCTCTTGTAACGCTCTATAAACTTGTATTGCCTCGAATATTCGTTCGTATCAGTGTTATAAAAAAAAGTGTTATCTGTTTCATTATAAGTGGTGTTTAGAGAAAGTATTAATGTTGTAAAATAAATAATGTTCTCAATATTTTAGTCTTTTAGATAACATTTAATGTTATTTGAAGTTAAGACCTAGTATACAATATTAAGTCATTTTTATTGATGGTTGCATTAGTTTTATTTAATGATATTTAATCTAAATAATACAACTGTATACTAAGATGTGTTTTCTTAATTATTATGCAAAAACATTAAACCTGTATATGTTTGAATAAAGGGAGTTTGATATGCTGAGATGCTTGAAAATTGGTTAAATTATTAGTGCTCTCAGTGATGAATTATTGTTACAAGGCAAATCTGGATCCTTGGAAAGTGGACTGACTTCAAATTCTATTGGTCCCTACAGTTGACCTCAATTAATACTCCCGAAATATTGACAACTGATATGGCTTAAGAGTCGTGGTCATAGCCACATCTTAATATCTTATCGTCTGCATAAGTATACTTTCACGTATTTGTTTCTTTTTCTTTTTTTCTTGTCACCACCATCTATGCATGTATACTCTAAAATAAGAAAATTTCGATCGTATAACACATGATCTCTTATTATTGCTAATATCATCACGCAATAATATACTATGTTAAAATATATACATATGTACTATGTTACTTACGGCTGATAACTTGTTACACATGATTTCTTTTCTTTTTGTATTATTTGATTTTTCTTTTCTTTTTGTATTATTTGATTTTTCTTTTCTTTTGTGATAAATTTTATCGATTGATATGGCCAGTCTTGAAAAAAATGTATTGAAGGCTACATAGTGGATTAACATGAAAGCATACCACATTACATGATTTTAATTCAAAATATCTTCTAGCTAATGTCACAGACCAATCATCTATTACGGTGTATCATAAAAACTATTTTGACCCAAAACCCAAACCAGACAAAGTGAAATTAGTGATTATTATTTGACATACTTTTTGTATTTTACATCATTGTTGTTTTGTTTTTCAGTTTTAAAAGGTCAAAGAATACAGCTACTGACCAACAAGTGACCAGCTAACAAAATTCATCTATTAACTTTCAGATTTCCATATTTAATTTTCGTTTTTTTCCAGCTATTTTACATAATTATTTAATAAATGTCGAAGAACTAATTACAGAAGAATTTTCAAACGCTAATAAAGGCATACGTAAGCCAGACTTTAAGGTCCAATGATTCTAGAGATTCCGTTTCCATTTCAGTTTCATCCTCCCTCTCTTTCTGTACTTTCTCACTTTCTTGTCTGCATTCACTCTAAACTTTTCTTTATATAGGAAACTGATCTCAGAATCTGTAATGAGAATCTATATCTAAATCAAATATTTACTTTTCCAAAGAAATGGGATCGGAACATGGTGACGACGGGCTACGTCGGCGAGGCTGTTCATGCACGAAAGATGATTTTCTCCCGGAGGAATCATTCAAAAGCATGGGGAACTACTTTAGAGCCCTTAAGGAAACACCGAGTCGGTTCATAGACCGTGTAATGACTCGGTCAGTCGACTCGGCGGAGATTCACGACATGAAGGCACGTAGTGGTAACGAGATGAAGAAAACGCTGACGTGGTGGGATCTAATGTGGTTCGGAGTCGGTGCGGTTATCGGCTCAGGAATATTCGTTCTCACCGGACAAGAAGCACGGGATGAGTCCGGTCCAGCAGTCGTGTTGTCCTTTGTCGTCTCAGGTGTCTCCGCCATGCTCTCCGTGTTTTGTTACACCGAGTTCGCCGTCGAGATTCCTGTCGCAGGTAAAGGAAAATTTTCTTTCTTCTGTTTTTGTTAACTGAGAATAATTACCAAAATATTATAAAGATTAGGTGAAACTTTCTTATAGTACTTTGTTTGGATCTCTGAAGCAAGACGTGCAGAAATCTGTGGTCTTGAGATTTTTCTATTAAACTTAAGATTACGTGTTTTTCTATCGTAATTACCTAACTAATAATCATATGTTGTTAAGATTTTCATCTTCAAACCAAAACGCATAAATCCTATTCAGGAAACCTCACCTTGGGATTGCTTATTTATCAAAGATGGAGTAAATTACGCAGACGCTTCATCATTTGTGACGATTAAGAATATGATAAAAAACCATCTTTAAATTTTTTAACTAAAAAAACTAAGAAAATATTTTTAAGTTTAAGAATCTGTTTTTAATTTTTTATTTAAAAATTAAGAGAAGGTTTCTTATATTCTGTTTAAAATTTTATCCTAAGAATTTTCCATTAATCATGCTTTTACTTAATTGTTTAATTATTAGTAATTGTAGGTTTAAGCTTTCGATCACGGTAATAGTATATAATTATAGTAATATAGCATATATTCAGTTACGGCGAGTTGGCTTCTCCGGGGTCAACTAGTTGACTTCCGAGAGTGAGCCGTTCACACTTCACGCACTATCTTGTTCACACACACAACTGTTAGCTAATTAATTGTCTGAACAACATGTTGTTTGGCATGTATAGATCTCGTTCGGCGGTTGACCAACAATAATATTGTTTTCTTTTGGTTAGATCATTCGAAAAGGAAGTCAAATAACGAACTGTCAATTACCTGACGCAAGCAAATAATAAGTCAAATTTGTACTACTTTAAGACTTCACGTTACCGACTTGAAAAATCGTTGATAGATCCCTTTAGCTAGAGATAATAGTTTAGTCCAAATTACATTACAGTATCTTTTGATTCATTCTGAAAATTGTTATTTTGGTTCCATTTGATTTAAACATATTTTCCACAATTTTGTTGGCGCTAACATGAAAAATATACCAAAACGAAAATTTGGAAATCTAACTTTTTGTAAAATACAAATTAATGCAAATGTAAAGTTCTTTATCCATTTGCATAGTTTAAAACAAAAAAAAAAAAATTCCATTTGCATAGATTTGCCTATAATGCTAACGGATGTGGGTTAACTAACATACATCAAACTGTATTAGGACTAGGCAAAAATAGTTGCTACTTATCCTATTTTTGTTAATTTTTTATGTACAAGACTACTAGGTTGAGAAACTCTCATATTTAAAACTCCAACCCAAACAAACACCAAAAAAATTGTAGTTTATTGTTTGGCCACAATTATTTCCTGAATGATCATCTAATTTCTTTCTTGTGTACTTTACCTAACCATTCTTACCAATGGGTGTAGGCGGTTCTTTCGCCTACTTAAGAGTAGAGCTTGGCGACTTCATGGCTTTCATCGCCGCTGGAAATATAATCCTGGAATACGTAGTCGGTGGAGCTGCCGTGGCACGATCATGGACCTCTTACTTCGCCACTCTCTTAAACCACAAACCTGACGACTTCCGCATAATAGCTCACAGTCTCGGCGAAGACTATGGCCACCTAGACCCAATAGCCGTCGGTGTTTGCGCCATCATTTGCGTTCTCGCCGTTATTGGCACAAAAGGCTCATCAGTCTTCAACTACATTGCTTCTATGATCCATATGGTCGTCATTGCATTCGTGATAATCGCTGGATTAACCAGAGCTGACCTCAAAAACTATTCAGACTTCGCTCCTTTTGGAGCTAGAGGAGTGTTCAAATCCGCGTCGGTGCTGTTCTTTGCGTATATTGGATTTGATGCGGTTTCAACGATGGCTGAGGAGACAAAGAACCCTGGGAGAGATATTCCCATTGGTCTTGTCGGCTCAATGGTGGTTACAACGGTTTGTTATTGTCTGATGGCGGTAACGTTGTGTCTCATGCAACCTTATGGTCAGATTGATCCGGACGCGCCGTTTTCTGTCGCGTTCTCGGCGGTTGGATGGGATTGGGCTAAGTACATTGTCGCGTTTGGTGCTCTTAAAGGTATGACAAAATTGACAACGGCTTCGACGTCGATTATTTCATTTTTTTATTTGTGCTTATAATTATATATATATATATATATATGTATATATTTTAGAAAAATGAAACTCAAAATCTTAATTGCTTTAAGAATTTTTAAAAATGTCTGGTTTTAATTAGGCTTTAGTTCATTTTAGTCTGATTTTATACATTTTTTTCATTTCTGAAAAAAATACATAATAAAAAGTAATACTCAATCCATTCCATAAAGATAAACATTTTGAAAAATGGTTCATAAAATATATGATTTATACATATTTCATGATTTAATAATAATAAAATTCAAAAATATTGATTATATTTATCTAATTACTATTGGTTAATTTAATATAAAATAAGATAGCCACAAAAATGAGGCATGTTATAAATCCAATGTATTTTTAAATATGCGTAAAAATATTTAAAAATTTTTTTTCCATCAAATGACTATTCTATTAATCACATTAAAAATATTTTTTGTGATATATCACTTACATATTCAAATAATTTGAAATGTGCAGGTATGACAACAGTTTTGTTAGTTGGAGCCATAGGCCAAGCTAGGTACATGACGCACATAGCCCGTGCCCACATGATGCCACCATGGCTAGCTCATGTCAACGCAAAGACCGGGACACCCATCAACGCGACAGTGGTCATGCTTGCCGCTACAGCTCTCATCGCGTTCTTCACAAAACTTGGTATCTTAGCCGATCTCTTATCCGTGTCCACACTTTTCATCTTCATGTTCGTCGCGGTGGCTCTTCTCGTCAGGAGATACTACGTCACCGGAGAAACATCTTCCCGTGACCGGAACAAGTTCTTGTTGTTCTTAGGTTTGATTCTTGCATCCTCGATCGCGACAGCTGTGTACTGGGCGATGGAAAAAGATGGTTGGATTGTATATGCCGTTACGGTTCCTGTTTGGTTCTTGTCTACCGTTGGGATGAAGTTTCTTGTGCCGCAAGCTAGGGCTCCGAAACTATGGGGTGTTCCTTTGGTTCCGTGGTTGCCTTCTGCTTCGATCGCTATTAATATCTTTCTTCTTGGTTCGATAGATGAGAAATCGTTCGTTAGGTTTGGGATATGGACTGCTGTTCTTCTTGTTTACTACTTCTTGTTTGGCTTGCACGCAACTTATGATACAGCGAAGGCGACGCAAAAGGAGAAGTTGACGTTGAAGAATGCTGAGGAAGGTAGTGTTGTTGTTGCAGAAAAATATGGTCCTCCAACTTTAGATCACTAGCTAGCTGGTTTTAATAATCACTACAAAGGTTGATTTTAAGCTTTTGGTTTATAAGTTGTTGGATACTTCTGAGTTCTGACCGGTTTGGAAAGTACAAATAATGCTTCCAAAACAAGAAATAGTTAAAAGCTTTTGTGTATTTAAACAAGAAAGAGTTCAAGCATTACAGTTTTTGACAGAAGAAATTCGCCCAAAATGAATACGACAGATGGCAAAATCAGACTGAACCTAATGAGTCAGGAGTTGCAGAACTGTTTTTTTTTTTGTCTGTAATTAAATCGAGCTTCTTCTCCGTACAATGATTTGGCAAAAACAACCACATGTGGCTTGCAGCTTGCTGAGAGCCTATTGGTGGTTTATCCAATACGTTCATGACCATATATAGTGATGAATTATAGATTTAGTAATCCAAGAATTCAAACACACACATAAAGCTTAGATTACCAAAGAATCTGATCAAATGGGTCTGAAAATATCAGCTAGACAAATGAATATAAACCAATATCCATTAGATGAATTCTAGCCACTAGCCAAATTAGCTTATATATACTCTCAAGACTAGACTTCCTCAGCTCTCAAAGACTCAAACCATGATGTTTCCTTGGAGAATCGTGGGTCTTATATCTTTAAGACTCTAGCCATTGCACTTTAAAGGGTAAGAGAAACTGCAGAAAATGAATTCGGAGTTATTGAAACAAAAAACAAAAAAAGGAACACAATGCATTTGAATGAATAAGCAGGATTCTTACTTGATACGTCGTCGTTTGGGCAAGTGTAAATAAGTAAAACCCGAGGGTAGATGGGTCATATCAGCTAATGTCATCAAAACTACACTCACTTTTTTTTCTACCCACACCGTTCTCCTCCTCCTCCTTGAAAGCGCCATATAGATCGATCCGACCTCAAACCCCCAGTCTCCGTTGACTACAGACACTCGCCGTCTCCAGTTCCGCTTCTTCGTCCCATGTACGGATCTACTTCCGATCTGTAAAAATGCTTCTTTCATCTTCGATCTGTCCGTCGTAGATGCCTGATTGTTTTGATTTTGTTTAATATGCAGTAATGATGGCCAGAGGTCTATTACGATTCCTAGCTTCGCTACTCGCGTTAGCGATTTGCAATGCTGCTTCGGTCTCTCAACCGATTTCAGACTCTCACCGATCCGCGGCTGTAGATGTCTTCCTACCACTCGATGGATCCTTCAAAAGGTTGGTTTTAAAACGGCAAATTTCGATGTCGTTTTGTTACTTTACATTGTTTTGAGTTATGTTCTTGCATACATTGTACTTATTGCTTGCTAAAAGCTCACGACTTTGTATTGTGTAGTAATATGATTTTTGTTCGGACTCGTTAAAAATTTTGTGATTTTTGTTATGATTAGTTTGGAGGAAGCGTATGAAGCATTGAAGACTTTGGATGTTCTTGGAATTGATAAGAAGTCTGATCTAAGTTTATCCACTTGTGAGAATGTGGTTAAAGTTCTAGGGTCGTCATCTTCTGCTTTAAAGGATTTGTTTTATGCTTTGAGCGTTAATGGGATTCTAAAATGCAAAACTGGAGAAATTGTTCCTAAGGTAAACAGTTGTCTCCTTTCTATTACTTTTTAAGTGGCAAGAGTAACTTCATGTGTTCTTTGTTTTCGTATTTTTGAAGGACATTGTCTCTAAACTTCAAGCTGGCGCCAAGGATGCGAAGTTGTTGCTTGACTTCTACTATTCCGTCAGAGGCTTGGTGCTTGCTAAGGTAATACGGGCTAGATAGACTTGTGGTAGATATCTTGAGTACTGGTTTAATACGAGAGTTTTCTTAGTTTTCGATCATTACTTGGCAGAATGTACCTGTGATCGTGATAATTTTATATATTTTCAACGCCATAGCTTTTCCTTTTTGTTGGCTTAAGTTTTGACCTCGCCTTTTCATGTATGCAGGAGCAATTTTCTGGAACTGATGTTAGTCTTGGTGATGCCGAAGCCATTTTCCGTTCCATAAAGGTTTGAACTTGTGTAGATCACCTTCTATTTGTTGTGTTATCAGATGTTACATTGCATACTGTTTTCTGAATTATCAGCTATACACTCTGGTAGAAGTTTTTATAGTGTTGACATATTACCGATAGTCTGTTACTATTTTACATTCTACTTAGCTTATATTTTCAAGTATAATTTGGCTCATTTAGTAAATTTTAAATCAGGCTCTCAGCCAGAATGATGGAAGATGGCGCTACAGCTCCAACAATCCTGAATCAAGCACCTTTGCTGCTGGTAAGTATTTCTTATTGGATCAACCCGTCATACTTCACGATGCTAAACGTTTGAACCTTTTAAATTGTTTTCCCCTTTTCTTTTTAACATTCTTTTAAACATAAGATTTTTTTTCTTTTTCTCAGGCGTAGCATTCGAAACTCTTGCTGGAGTGATTTCATTAGCACCTTCAGAGATTGATCAGTCATTGGTAAGTGAGATCTTTGGTGCACTAAATTACTGTTTTCCTGAGAATATTTTTTGATGAGGACATCTTAGTTTAGTGGTGATTTACTTTTGGTTCTGGAATAACTTCGTAACTAGAATAACGACTGTTTTGGTAACTTTAGTTTCCAAGTCGTAGCTTTAGGAATGATAATGTGTGTCTACCTGGCATTTTTATCTGGTTATGTCTTTTTGCCATTTTATGTGGTAGTTTCGTTGATATTACTTGGTCATATGATGGTACGATCATTCTTGTTGTTCATCTTGTAGATCCAGACATTGAAGACGGGTATCGTGAAGCTTTTTGACAGTATCCAAAAATATGGTATGAAGTAAACTACTTGCTATTTTACGTATATGCATAGGCTATTTCTTCAGTCACTTCATAGTTTTTTTAGTATAGATTAGCGTTTCTCGACTTGATTATTTTCTTTTTGGCCGTTCAGACGATGGGACATTTTACTTCGATGGTAGTGAAGGCCCGATCTCAACAACTGCATCAGTAATTAGAGGGCTCACTTCATTTGCAGCTTCAGAATCCACTGGATTGAACGTATGTAGTAACCATATTTTTCTGTATCCTGTAGTCTGCCAGATGTGTAGATAACTCACCTTGCTTTCCCATTCTCTCATGCAGCTTCCAGGTGATAAGATAGTTGGTCTGGCCAAATTCTTACTTGGTGTTGGAATTCCTGGAGATGCCAAGGATTTCTTCAACCAAGTAGATGCACTGGCTTGTTTGGAAGACAACAGGCAAGGCTACTTTCATGCCCCCTTTATGCAATTTCTCTCTTCTTATTTCAGTACACATCTTAGACGAGATTTCAATAACCCTGGCTTGAATTGAATTGAGGGATACTAGGACTTACTCTTACCTCCGTTATCCCGTTTAACAGTTGCTTTTGATTGAGGAAAACTGTTTCTCTTTACATATATAAAAATGTTCCGAAGGGCTTGTGGCCCTCCATCCTAGAATTTTGAACAAAATGATTGCGGCAGATATGATATCTGTAGAGAAGAGTAGAAGTTTAAAAGCTCGAACACTTATGTAAACTGAAGCAGATGCTCATTTATCATTCTCTCGCTCTAAATTTTTTATTTCATAGGAGCAATAATATCTGCTACGGCTGTTCTCTATGATTTCAGGTTCTCTGTTCCACTCATCTTGTCTCTTCCATCTACTGTCATTTCATTGACAAAGAAAGAGCCTCTGAAGGTATCCCATCAAAACTTTCATCAAGATGGGACTGGCATAGTTTGAGATGTTTTTTTCTTGTATTATATTAATATTTTATTCTTTATCTGGAACTAGGTTAAAGTGAGCACTGTTCTCGGTTCTAAGGCACCAGCTCTTAGTGTGAAGCTCGCAGACGCTCTAAGTTCAAAGGGTTCTTCCGTAATCAGCAACCAGGTAAATACTGTAGCTTCTCTGACTGTTTGAGCTCGCATTAGTCAGTGTTCCCTTAACTCTGCATTAAGCCGGTTTACATGGCATTTTGGGGGCGTACAGGAGCTTAAGTTTGACGCTGACAGTGCAACGTACTTTCTGGACTCCTTTCCCAAGAACTTTGATGTTGGAAAGTATACATTTGTATTTGAGGTATTGCTCTTGCTAGTATATATTACAAAGACTTCATATACAATGTATGTTAAGAACATGATAAGCATCGTTTTCTGCAGATTTTGCTAGATGAGTCGGCAAATGAAAAAGCTTACATAACCGAAGCCCAAACAAAAGTGCCTATAGCAGCCACAGGAGCTATTAGCATTGAGAACGCAGAAATTGCTGTACTTGACAGTGACGTCGGGAGCGTTGAATCTCAGAAGAAGTATGTATCTTTTAATCTTTGTACCATTTGTTGCTTACAAAATATGTGTTTTTGCAACTTTCTTCTTGTGCTTATAATCATTTTGTTTCTTGGTTTCCTTTTGCAGGCTAGATTTAAGTAAAGATGGAGCAGTGTCATTATCAGCAAACCATCTCCAAAAGCTACGTCTGTCATTCCAGTTAACTACTCCAGTTGGCGTTGTGTTTAAGCCACACCAGGTTAGTTCATTCCCGATTCTGCTTTTATTAATAGTTTTACTCTGTTCACTTTCTTGACTTGCTTGCTTCTATGCAGGCATTTCTGAAACTGAAACATGAGTCACAGGTCGAGCATATCTTTCTTGTGAAAACTTCTGGAAAGAAGTCTGAATTAGTACTAGTAAGTTCCTTAAACTACATCGTGAATGGATTTTGTTGAAAAGTATTCTTTAACCTGTCTTCATCTTGCTATGGTCAAGTTTGGTGAAAGAAATTACGTTCTAAATGCAATATTAACGACTAATGTTATTTCTCCCCTTCAGGATTTTCTTGGATTGGTTGAGAAGCTCCACTACCTTTCTGGTAAATATGAGATCCAGCTAACTATTGGAGATGCTTCTATGGTAATTACTGTTCTTTCAGGTCCAATGCAGATAGTTGATTTACGTTTCCGGAAATTTGAACAATGTTATTTTCTCTTTGGTTTCATTTCTCCAGGAGAACTCTTTGTTGAACAATATTGGCCACATTGAACTAGACTTACCAGAACGTCCAGAGAAGGCGTCTCTTCCTCCTCTACAGCCTACTGACCCTTACTCAAGATATGGTCCAAAGGCTGAGATATCACACATCTTCCGTGTTCCAGAAAAGCTTCCCGCGAAGCAGCTTTCACTAGTCTTCTTGGGTCTTATAGTTCTCCCCTTCATCGGTTTCCTGATTGGGGTCAGTCTTCTTTCCCTTGTAAATAGATTCAGAAACGCAAATCCGAAAAATTAAATTTGTTCAAAACTCAAGACAAACTTTTTTTTTTTAATTTGTATTTCAGCTGACAAGGTTGGGAGTGAACATAAAGAGCTTCCCATCATCGGTTGGAGCTGCAACATCCGCCTTACTTTTCCATGGTGGCATCGGAGCTGTTCTGCTTCTCTACGTGCTATTCTGGATTAAGGCAAGTTCTCAAAACCGGTTCTTGTATTAAGATTATAAACACCATTGCATCAAAAGTCTAACTATGCTCATCATAATAAATTTTCTTTTGAATCATACAGTTGGATCTGTTCACGACTCTAAAGGCACTTTCGATGTTGGGAGTGTTTCTGTTGTTCGTTGGACACAGCACACTCTCTCAACTCGCATCGGCATCGAACAAGTTGAAATCTGCTTGAAGAATGTATTCGCTATGATAGATTCTGTGTGTTCCATGGACCACCTTTTTTGTGGTAGCATTACTTTTTATAGATTAAGGTGATAGACAATTCCAAAGTATTTCAGAGTTTTACGAACTCTCAGTTTAGTCTTAAAAGTTATCAACAAGAAGAGTTGCCTTCCTTGCCTTTTTCGTTGAACAATATTTTGAGATACAAGTCGCCCAAACTCCAAGTAAAATACAAGTTTTGATGAAAATAAAGTGTAGTATAGTTCTGGGTAAAATAAAATTCGATTCGGTATCTGCTCTGATTTGTACCAAAATTTCGGATATCCTACAAATTGGTGCCCACCCCTAATGTTGTATATAACATTAATAGATATCTAATGAGGAAAGGTAACAATAAACAATAAACCCGTCAACGACAACTAAAAGGAAAAATATCTGGTATTTGACCCTTGACATGGCAATACGTTACAAACTTTCAAACTTCAAAAAGAAATGGGGAAGATTTAAAAGTAAAAGAGAGCGGCACGTCGTTGTCATTTGTGATAAATTTATTCGTTCATCTGACAAGTTTGTGTAAGAACATATCTCTCTTTCTCTCTCCTCTCATTGGTAAGAAGTAAGAACGTTCAAATCCAATCTATATCTCGTTGTTCTATTTCCGTACATGTTCTTATTCCTTTCATAAAATTCTTCTATCTTTTCTCCATAGGTCTTGTGTTGAGTTTCATTCTCTGTAAGTCTGCTTTTTGTTTTTCGTCATTTCTTCAGTTAAATTGTATAACGATCCACCTTTTCGGATTGTTTGGCCATGTCAACGAGAAAACTTGGAACTTTATGTTTGTTCTCTCTCAGTTTGATCTATATTTACATTTGGGTTGGGTTTATCCTATTTGTCTTAGCTGGTACTGAAAACAATATGTTTTTGATGATTCTGTGGTCCTATGCTTCCCAAAAAAAAGTCTTCTTGAGTTTTGAAATTTTGCAAAGCATAGTTTGATGGTCTCTGTTTTTTTTGGGTCAAATTTTGATGGTCTCTTTACTTAACTTTTTGGTATTTACTAACATGGTTATTGTGGTCTTTGTTCTGTGTTTAGCTTTTTTAGAAGAGCAATGAGTTATTCTGCAGCCGGAGTTGGAAAGCCTGGCTCAGGTATTACTTTTTTTTTTTCTTAACCATTTCTCTAATTTAAGATAAGCTTTTGCGTGTTCCTATACTCGAATGATTTTTGTGTTCTGTCTGCTGTAAGAGTTAACATGAATCTTCATTGTTGCTTCACAGGTAAAAGGAGAATAAGGGTGCTTTTAACTCAATCTGATAACCGATTCTGTGCTGATTGTGGTGCCCCTGATCCTAAGTGGGCGTAAGTCATCTCTGTTAAAACATTTGTTTGAATATATCTTTTACCTCTGTGTTGCTCTCTAACAGTTAGCAATGTAACCAAATCTTGGCTTCTGTAATCAATCAGTAACTGACTTATATTACAGGTCAGCAAATATCGGAGTATTCATATGCTTAAAATGTTGCGGTGTCCACAGAAGTCTTGGCACTCATATCTCAAAGGTGATCCCCCCTTTGCTTCTCCTTCTATATTTACATAAACCGTTGGTAACATACATTTTCTTCTTTCCATAATATTTTTCCAAGTTTATTGATATATTTGAGGGGTGTTTTTCCAGGTCTTATCTGTGACATTAGATGAATGGTCAGATGAAGAAGTCGATTCAATGATTGAAATAGGAGGAAATGCCTCTGCTAATTCAATCTACGAGGCATTTATACCTGATGGTTGCTCTAAGCCTGGACCTGATGCTACTCATGACCAACGTATGAGGTTTATCAGGTAGGTTTTGCTATAACACTAACAAAACAGTGTTGTTTATACCAAATATTATTAATGTTTTCTTTTGTCAGGTCAAAATATGAGCTCCAAGAGTTTCTGAAACCAAGCTTGCGGATCACATCAGTGAAGGCCCCTAGTACAAAGAGTTCATCATCATATCTTTCATCAAGTCTATCTAAAAAGTTTATAGATAGCTTTCGTACAACCTCATCATCACAACAGCCGGTATAGTAATACTCTTTGAACTTTGACATCACTCAAGTCTTTTTGATTCATGGTAATGAAAACTTAAAACACTGACAGCAACTTGAAGGCATGGTTGAGTTTATTGGATTGTTGAAGGTTACTCTTAAAAACGGTACCAATTTAGCTGTCCGTGATATGATGACAAGTGATCCCTATGTTAAGTTGACTCTAGGACAACAGGTAAAACTAAAGTGAATACTTTAGATTCTTAAAAGGTTGTTCTTACCATTATTATGCTACTCTTTCTCATGATATTACCAGACTGCACAATCAAGTGTAAAGAAAAGCAACTTAAACCCTGTCTGGAATGAGGAACTCATGCTATCTGTCCCTCATGACTATGGCTCAGTGAAGTTGGTAAAAAGCTTAAAGCCAAATCAGTTTCTACTTGCAATGAATGTTTGATAGAAGTTTTTTTTTTACTTGAGGGTTGTTTTTCTGGTGATTATGCAGCAAGTGTTTGATTATGACAGATTTTCTGCTGATGACATAATGGGAGAAGCTGAGATTGATATACAACCACTGATTACGTCTGCAATGGCTTTTGGAGACCCTGAAATGTTTGGAGATATGCAGATTGGTAAATGGCTGAAATCGCATGACAATGCTCTTATAGAGGACAGCATTATCAACATAGCAGATGGGAAAGTGAGACAAGAGGTTCACATCAAGCTTCAGAATGTTGAGTCTGGTGAATTAGAACTAGAAGTGGAGTGGCTGTCTCTTGAGTCTTGACCAATAGTATAACAAACTGCTCATTGAATATATATGAAAAAAATGTTATTATTATTGTGTTCTTGTTTGAGAAAATTGGGAACTTCAATCTTGAAAACTCTCTTTGGTGTTGTGTTGTAAAGCTTCTATTTACAGGTTAAAGCATTTGTATTAAATGTTTTAATTCAGTTTACATTTTTAGAGATTTTTTTTACAAACAACCTTGTTTAGAACCATGACCCTGAACAAACATAAAACCACAATAAACTGATTTTCGTTAAACAAGAGAATCAAAAAGAGAGTTAAGTGAAGGTTCACTGAAACAAACGCCTCCAAGCCGTTTTGGTAAGAAACCTTCAATGCATAACACTCAATAGCTAAGCAAAGTCATATAGAAGTGAAACTTCACTTTCATACTACTAAATTTTCACCTCTCTTTGACTTTGTTGTATTGTTAACTACACAGAGGCCAATAAGTATTTTTTGGAGTCTATAGCTAAAGGTTACCAAGCTTTGACTGAGCCTTTATCTCGTGAAAACTTCGAGAAGTATGGTCATCCTGATGGCAGACCAGGTACTAATGCTATGATAGTGTGTCTTCTTCTAACATGAACATAGTCCTGCTTGTTTCATACTGATGGGAGAGTTTTGTAAATGTGATAGATGCAGGATTATAAACTAAGAATGGCTCTTCTCAGTTTATTTTAGGAATGACTGGATAATCTAGTGGTAGCATTGATGCTATGTACAGTTGGTTTATATATTTTCTTGCCGCTAGTGATAGCTTCCATCTATCTCTACAGGTCATCAAAGTACACCGGGAACTACGTTAATTAGGCTTCAAACTCGTCAAAGCATATATCGAATCAATGAAACCTTGTTTAACTAGAAGCAAACTTATAACTGCTGCATCTAATGCTATTAGTGAGACAATGGAAAGTTTAGGAGAAAGTGTTTGAGGAAACAAACAATGCAGTTAGTAAAGCTGTTGAGAATGATAAAGGTGGATCAGGGAAGACTCATAGCACTTACAACTTGACTTGCTTCTGCGTAAGTGATGTTTGGCTTGGTTGTGACCAGAAGACATTACTGAGAGTTGAAGTTTTCGAAAAGAAACCGTGATTTGGAGGGTGAGGTTGCAGAAGAAGGCATAGAGGAGGAGAAAGAAGAAGATGAGAATGAAAAAGGAGGATTATGAGAGCGAATACTGTGAGGATGAGGAAGATAAGAAGAGAGGATCAAAGAAGAAAGTTAAGAAGAAGGAATCAAGTTCTGAAGTGTCAGGGTCAGATGAAGATTGATCTCAAATACAATAGTTTAAGCTTACAAAGTGACACTCAAAAGGCTTTTTCTATTGTTTTGACATTAGTTGACTCTTCATTGTCTTGTTTTGACTATTCGAAGGTAAGAGTAACCCAAGCGCAGTCCAAGAAAGCTTCACCGAAGAACTTTGGCTCCAATTAATTTGTCCTTGGTTCCTATCCAAAAGCTCTTCTTCCTCTTCACTGAGATCCTCACCAACTTTGTTTGGTTCCTTATCTGACAACAACATTTCAGATTTACCCTCAATCTCATCACCAATATTATATCCTCGTCGTTGCTTTGCCTTGAGCTTAACACGTCTTCCTTGAATATATCTAAACTCCCACTGCGGTGGGGTGGAGGATACTTGTTCATCAGCTTCTCGTACTTATCCTTCATCCCAAGTTTCAAAAACACTTTCCCAACCCTATTCACAATCGCAATATTTGGTTTCACTCCAAGCTCCTACCTCCATATCAGCGAACAAAAAAAGAAAAACAAGAATAAATCAATTTGTTCCGAAAGAACCCCTCTTGCATTTTTACTTTTACCTCAAAGAGTTTGTGGTGCATATCTCTCTTGTAATAAATAGAGATCATTATGTTAAAGAACTTTCTTGGAGTTTCCTTCTAAATGTTCCAAAGAACAGTTTGTTCCAAAACTCCTCAGCTTCGTCGAGCCTGTTATCTTCAGGTAGAGCGTTTAGTAATGAGAAGTAAGTTGCTATTGTTCTCCCTTGGCCTTTGCTCAACATCCATTTCGTCACCTTAACACAATCCGTAAACTAAACAAATCTCCACAACTAAAACAAACGATTAACAACTCATATCTTGCTTAAAGGAAAGTATCTGAATGATCTTCTTCCACTCTCTTTGGTCTTCAAGAATAGCTACTAACACCTCAGTAACAGCTACCAACATTAAAGACATGAAGAAGAGAGTATTTATTACACAGAGCAATCATCTTGGCAGACTTGGAGATACTTCCGATTCTCTTCCTTGTTTTGCATACTCGAGGGTAACGAGGCCTTGGACCTCTTGCAGCACAAACCTGAAGAAATAATTGAATTGTTTGAAACAGAAGCTCAAAAAAGAACATAACTATTGAAAGAGAGACATAAGAAGAAGATAACAAGCACAACATTGTTAGGCCTCTTGGAGAAGAGTTTGGTTGATTCCTTTGTTTGAGAAAGATAAAGGTAATGAATATCTCAATCTAAGCATTCTGAGGAATCAAAAAGTGTTAGAGTTAACCGTTGGTTGAGTCTTAGTCTGTTTCAGTCAAAATAAAAGACCGATTGATTTGGTCAAGTTGTTAGTTGTTTAGTTGCGCAAGTTTAGGATTTCAGTTGCTTATTTTTCGGATCTTATTGTTTAGTTGTAATGGCTATATAATGCCTTGTCTTTCACTCAATAAACAATCGAACTATTCAGAGCATTTGACACTTTCAAATTGGTATCAGAGCTCGATTCTAAAAGCAAAAGAAGCCGTAGCTTCGAACACAAGAAAAAGGAGAGATGGGTGATGAGAAGATGAAACTTCCTCAGTTCGATGGGCACTGGGATCACTGGAGCGAAGTCATGGAAAACTTCTTCCGTGCAAGAGGGTTGTGGAGCGTGATCGACACCGGGTATGAAGAACTAGCAATAACAACGGTCCTTACAAACGAGCAGAGGCAACAACTGGACAACGCCAAAACCAATGATCACAAGGTCAAGCACTATCTTTACCAGAGTATTGATAGAATCACATTTGAGCAAATACTGGACAGAAGATCATCCAAAATCATCTGGGAATCAATGAAGGCAAAATTCGGAGGTAATGCTCGAGTAAAGAGGTCACTACTGCAGAAGCTAAGAAGAGACTTTGAGGTGCTAGAAATGAAGGAATCTGAGAGCATCGAAGAGTATTTTACTCGAGTGTTGGCTATCACAAACCAGATGAGAAGCAATGGAGAGATCCTGGCAGACACAAAAGTGGTGGAGAAGATTCTCAGGACACTCAGTGAAAGATTCATGTACGTGGTAGTGTCCATAGAAGAATCAAAGGACATTGACAGCATTTCACTAGATGAGTTGCAGAGCTCCTTGACAGTGCATGAGCAGAAGTTCAAGAAACCTGAGAAGGGAGAAGACCAAGTGTTGAAGGTAACGCATGGCAGAGGAATGGGGACTCGAGGAAGAGGATACCTTGGGCGAGGAAGAGGACGTGGGAGAGGGAGAACGTTCTCTAAGAGCACTGTTGAATGTTACAAGTGCCACAAGCTTGGACATTTTCAGAGTGAATGTCCAAAATGGGATGAAGAGGCAAACTACGCTGATCTTGATGAAAGTGAAGAGATGCTGCTGATGGCTTACATCGATGATGAAGATGATGTTGAAGCAGAGAAGATTTTGATGACTCACTGTGAGAAACAAGAACGTGCAAGGCAAAGAACTTGGTTTCTCGATTCTGGTTGTTCAAATCACATGAGTGGAGACAAGGCTTTGTTCTCAACAATGGATGAAGGTTTCAAGCATTTTGTTAAGCTTGGAAACAACAAGAGAATGGAGGTAGTAGGCAAAGGAAGTGTGAAGCTGAAGCTAAACAACACTGCATACACTATCAGTGACGTTTATTATGTTCCTGAGCTTAAAAACAATCTCTTGAGCCTGGGACAACTTCAAGAGAGAAGACTGACAATCATGATACAGAAAGGCTTCTGTAAAATTTACCATGAGGAACGAGGGTTGATAGCAGAGAGAAAGATGAGCTCAAACAGAATGTTTGTTCTGATTGATCAAACAAGTGAAAAGGACAGGCAGCAGAGATGTTTGAAGATAACGACTGAAGAGATACCGAAGTTGTGGCATGAGCGTTATGGACACCTAAATCATCGAGGCATGAAGACACTGCAAAGTAAAGGTATGGTAAGAGGACTGCCAAACTTTGATGCTCAAACCTTTACCTGCACTGACTGCTTAGTGGGGAAACAACAAAGGAATGCCATTCCCAAAAAGAGTTCATGGAGAGCAAAAGAGGTGCTGGAGCTAATCCATTCTGATATTTGCGGTCCAATCAGTCCCACATCCACCAGTGGAAAGAGGTACATCCTGTGTTTTATAGATGATCATAGCAGGAAAGGTTGGGTCTACTTCCTGGAAGAAAAGTCAGAAGCGTTCAAACAATTCAAAAACTTCAAGGTCAAGGTAGAGACTGAAGCAGGGAAAAGCATCAAGTGCTTAAGGACAGACATGGGAGGAGAATACACATCAAACGGATTCTCTACCTACTGTCAGACACATGGGATTCGAAGGCAACTGACCACAGCCTACACACCTCAATAGAATGGTATTGCGGAGAGAAAGAATCGCACCGTCATGAACATGGTCAGATCACTGCTTTCCACAAGAAAAGTCCCAAAGATTTTTTGGCCAGAAGCAGTCAACTGGACTTTCTACATTCTAAACCGATGTCCAACTCACTCAGTCAAGGATATGACTCCACAAGAAGCCTGGAATGGAGTAAAACCAAGTGTGGATCACTTTCGAATTTGGGGAAGCTTAGCTCATGTTCACATCCCTGAAGAAAAACGTAGTAAGCTTGATGATAAAAGCATAACATGTTTTCTGCTTGGTTTTTCAGAAGAATCAAAAGGATACAAACTTTATGATCCAAAAGCAAAAAGGATCATAATCAGCCGTGATGTGGTGTTTGAGGAGACAAAAGGATGGGACTGGGATGAAGATCAACACGCAAAAATTGATCTCTCATGGAGTGGTGATAATGAAACTTGGGAAGAGAGTGAAGAAGAGACCAGTGACACTGAAAACCCAGAAGATGAGCAAGAACAGAACATTGAAGAAACCCAGGATGAGCCAGTTGTAGGAGTCAGGGAGAGAAGAACACGAAGACTCCCACAATACCTCAACGACTATGTCACTGGTGCAAACGCTCCGGTTGAAGAAGACGAAGTGAACATGGTAGAAGTCAACTCTCCTGATCCTTGCACCTTCGAAGAAGCCAACAAAGGTCTGATATGGAGGAAAGCTATGGATGAAGAGATAAATTCAATCGTGAAGAATGAAACCTGGAGCCTTTGTCATCTTCCAAAAGGAGCCAAATGTATTGGAGTAAAGTGGATCTATAAAACAAAGTTGAATGAAGCTGGGGAGATCAACAAACACAAGGCAAGATTAGTCGCCAAAGGATACTCTCAAGAACTTGGTATTGACTTCACTGAAGTATATGCCCCTGTTGCTCGAATGGACACCATCAGAACCATTCTTGCTACAGCAGCTCAGAGAAACTGGGAAATTCACCAGCTTGATGTAAAGTCAGCATTTCTTCACGGGGTCCTAAATGAAGACGTCTACATTCAACAGCCAAAAGGGTATGAAGTTAAAGAAGAAGAGGATATGGTGTACAAGCTTCATAAGGCCCTATATGGACTTAGACAAGCCCCAAGAGTCTGGTTCACAAGAGTTGAGGAGTACTTCATCAAGGAGGGGTTTCTGAAATCTGAAAATGAGGAAACACTCTTTCTGAAAACAAGCAAGCAAGGTAACACTCTCATTGTCAGCGTGTATGTAGATGACCTTATTTATACAGGAGATAATGCATCAATGATGGAAGAATTCAAACTCTCTATGCAACAAGAGTTTGATATGACTGATCTCGGAAAAATGAGATACTTTTTGGGGTTTGAGGTGATGCAAACTCCACACGGAATTCATGTGTCTCAAACAAAGTATGTCGTGGAAGTGCTGAGGCGTTTTGATATGGAAGAGTGCAATTCTGTTCACAATCCGATCGTTCCAGGAAGCAAGCTCAACATAGATGAAGAAGGAGAAAGAGTCGATGAAACTCTCTATAAACAGATCATTGGGAGTCTCATGTACATCACCAATACACGGCCTGATCTGCAATACGTTGTGAGCTTGTTGAGTCGCTACATGTCAAGACCTACTCAACTACATCAGCAAGCTGCGAAGAGAGTCCTGAGGTATCTAAAGGGGACAGTAACCTTTGGAATATGGTACAGAAGAGATGGGGCAGGAGAGTTACAAGCATACACAGACAGTGATTTCGCAGGAGACGTTGACAGCAGAAAAAGCACCTCGGGTTATGTTTTCTTGCTAGACAATGCAGCTGTGGCTTGGAGTTCGAAGAAACAAACAATAGTGACACTATCCACAACCGAGGCAGAGTATGTAGCAGCCTCAACCTGTGCATGTCAAGCGATTTGGTTTGAGAGAGTTTTAAGAGAATTGGGACACGATACAGCTGAAGGCATTGTGATACAGTGTGACAACACATCGACAATCAAGTTGTCCAAGAATCCTGTTTTTCATGGGAGATGCAAGCATATAGGAGTTCGTTTTCACTTTCTCAGAGACTTAGTCAAGGAGGGAAGCATAGTTCTTGAGCATTGTGGATCACATGAACAAGTTGCAGACATTTTCACAAAGCCATTGAAGAGAGAAGTATTTGAAGCATTAAGGGAGAAGCTCGGAGTCTGTTCGTGGGAAGATAAGCTCAACTTTCACCAAGTTTAGCTTAAGGAGGGTTTTGTTAGAGTTAACCGTTGGTTGAGTCTTAGTCTGTTTCAGTCAAAATAAAAGACCGATTGATTTGGTCAAGTTGTTAGTTGTTTAGTTTCGCAAGTTTAGGATTTCAGTTGCTTATTTTTCGGATCTTATTGTTTAGTTGTAATGGCTATATAATGCCTTGTCTTTCACTCAATAAACAATCGAACTATTCAGAGCATTTGACACTTTCGAAAAGGACACGTAAAAGTTGAAAGCTTTATCATTTTCAACTTACAATTCAAAAAACTCTGTATTCATAACAGATTGTAAACTCTTAAGAAATGAAAATCAACCACCAAGAAGCCGTCACTGGGTACGTTTTGTACGGAATCAAAGCACGTGGAATCTTACATGTGGATGGATTCTTCAAAATTAGGCAAAAAAGCTAAGATTAGTAAACGCTGGTTGTCTGATTCTCATCGAAAAAACATACGAAACGCTGCGTTTGGAGCTAATGGACAAGGCCCATTAACTTAAAAAGTTTAGTAAGGCCCATTAACTTGGAAACTTTGACCCGGCTCTGTTCTCTCTTAATTCCGTTGACTCGATTCTCTCTCTCTGTTTCCTCCATTTCAGTGATTCTGAGGTTTATCTCTCTCAAAGTCTCAGACTACTCTCAGGTGATCGATACCAAATCAAACGTAATCTAATTCTTTCTTCCTTCGTGATTCTTATTCGATTTAGATCTTCACGCCTTACCGGTGTGTTATTTGAATCTTGTGGTTCTTATCCTGCCTTGTTAAATTTGGGGGGAATTGAATCAGTTGATCTTCTAACTCGGGTCTTACTCTTGTTTCCTTCTGGGTTTTCTCCAGAGAATTGAAAGATCTGATCTTTTTTTTTTTACAATTGTTTTCAGTGATTGAGAGTTCTGTGTCTTTGTTCTTACAGGTTTAAAAGATGCATCCTCCGCTTACACCACACCGACATCCAATGTGTGTTGAGGTGAGTTTATTTCTCTCACCTGATTTGTTTCTGAACCTTTCTTCTCTGTACATGTCGTAGTTGTAAGTTGTAACCTCTGCTTCTTTGAGAAAAAAAGATCCTAGTTTGTGTACAAATCCTATGAGTCACAGTGTATTATATGCTCTTTATAATAACCGTTTAAGTGATCAAGCTACATAGAATCTTTTAGTGCAATTAGATATGAGTGGAGTGAAACTACATAACTGCATTTTTGGCTAGAGAACATATCGATTTTTGCGATTTTTGATCGAAAATATGTTCTCTTTTGTTGTTCTTACAAATCCTTCTGTATGTGACATGTTTTTCCAGATAATCGAGGAGTTCCAAAAGTGTCATTTAGATCATCCCATTGGAAAATTCTTCGGAGACTGTACAGAGCTGAAAGTAAAGCTTCTTAGTTGTTTCCGCCAAGAGGTCACTTACTAATACCCAACATGTACTTCGTTCTAGTTACATTTGCCTTAGTTATATCTTAAAATATTTGTGCAGAAAGCTGTGAAGAGGAAGGTAAATTTCGAACAAAGCAAGAAACTTCAAGAAAGACTTAAAGCTATTAGGAAAGAAGAAAATGCCGAGACTTGAGCTCAGATATATGTATGTCTATTTCAAAACAATGACGATGGTATCATTCATCTGTTGAGTAGGGTTTAGGGTTCAAATGAAAATGAGGTATTTATTGGATTTTAAGGCTACTTAGCTTGGTCTGAAACATACATGTTCTTCTTACACGGTTTGTTTTATTTATGGATTTACAAGTAGCTACACAACTTGGCTTCATTGTGGCTACAAAATAATATTTGCATTCAAACATTTTTTTTTTTGTTTGGAAAATGGTACTTGTCAATCTTTTATTTGATCTCCTGGACCGTTTCAGAGACTGAGTATGTATGACATATCTCTGAACTTTTATATTAGTCATACGACGAGACTCATTCACCTTCTATTTACTTGTCTTACAAGAAGATAAGACTCTTCAATATGGTAATACCGAACCGAAATAGACCATATGATTTGGATTTGGTATATACCATATTAACTGAATGGATATGATTTATAAAAAACCGTAGGATTTGGATATGGTTAGGTTTATAACCGATTAAATCGAATAAAGCAAACAAAACCGATCAAAAAAATATATATAAATATATACATTATATAACCATTTATTTTCTTGGAATAGTTTTTTTTTTTTTTTATTCTTTGTGAAGATATATCTTAACAATTTTATTTTATTTTCTTCAACTATTATCTAAATTTGATTTGATTTTGCATGCTGTAAGAAATTGTGAAATTAGATTGTACCATGTAATTTATTTGGAAGAACAAAGAGAAAATAAGAAAAGTTGTACAAAACTGAATCGTTGGTCGTTTTGTTTGTTGTTAATTTCACATTTTTAAATTTATGAACACCTAGGATTATTGTAATAAATGATAGTTTTGACAATATGTTTTTTTAAAAAAATTCATATAATATGAAACCAAATCAAATAATAATGTTATTTGGTATAAAATTGAATAAACCGAAAACCGGTAATATAAATACCAAATCAAACCAAATTAAATATGGTTCCAATAAAATAGCTAATTTTTATAAATCGAATAACCGAAAAAACCTAACCGAATCCGGACAGAACACCATATTAAACAGGCCTACAAGAAGACAAGTAAATATCAAAAGAATTACGGGCTATTCGTTTTGTCCACCTGGATGGAGATGAAGATTGATGTTTGTTTGATGTTAAAATAAGTATCATTGAAATGATCCATCCAGATAAGTTTTAAAATTTTATTCTAAAATGATATTCTTTCAAATGGCTAATCTACATGAGTTTAACTAGTATATTTGGATGCAGATGAACATATCCAAAATAACGAATTTACTTTTACTCTAATAAAAATTTATATTCAATTTTATACAAATAAATAATTATGATATAGTTTTTCAAAAAAGAAAAAAAATTATGATTTTCCACCAAAATCGCAAAAAACACATTTTTCGTCAAAACCACAAACAAATAAATAATTATGATATAATTTCTCAAAAACTTGAAAAAACTATGATTTTCCACCAAAATTGTAAAAATACATTTTTCGTCAAAACCACAAAACTGTATACTTCCGCCGAAATCATAAAAATACATTTCTCAACAATACCGCAAAGATGCATTTTATCGGAAAAATCGCAAAAACGTTTTTTTTTCCACCAAAACCATGAAAAAGAACTTTCCTGCTAAAACCGCAAACTGCATTTTCTCGCAAAAACTGGAAAACACAAATTTTCACCAAAATCTCAAAAAATTGCATTTTCTTTTCAAACTGTAAAAACACATTGTCTCTCTAATACCACAAAATCATGTTTTTCCCGCCAAAATCGCAAAGTTATGTTTTCTCGTCAAAACCACATTTTTTCGCCAAAACCATAAAATTACATTTCTTGCCATAACCCTATTTTAAAATAATTATATTTTAGATAATCAATAAATTAATATAGTTAAACAAAGATAAAATATGATAAAATCAAGGGAAAATTCTTTAAAAATACACAAACTAATTTTATTTGCTAATAAAATACATGAATTATTTTGGATCCCCGTTTAATACATGAACTAGTTTTCGTTATCCATTAAATACATGAACTTCTGAAATTCGCAGGATTTACGCATCACTTCAGAGAGTGTTAACTATGTTTAACGGAAGTTGGCGACAATGTTAATGTTTAATTAAGCATGTGGTAAATTATGAAAGCAAAATTCCTTAAAAATACATGAACTAATTTTTATTTGCTAATAAAATACACAAACTATTTTAGATCCTCGTTTAATACACGAACTAATTTTTGTTTTTCAATAAATACACAAACTTTTGAAATTTGCAGATTTTACACATTGATTTAGACGACCTCAACTATGTTTAAGAGAATTTAGACTATGTCAACTGTTTTTGACATAAGTGCAGACAATGTTAGTGTTTGATTAATGACAAATTAAACTATGAAGAAAAAAAAATCTTTTAAAATTATTCTGATAGATTATATTGTGAGTTTTTTTCTCCATTACGCTTCCATAGTTTAAATTAATCTTGATTGACACATTATCACTGTAATCAAAAGAAGAATAAGAATCATAAACACATAACACCAAACTAATTCCAAAATATGACACTCTCTAAAGTTATCTAGTTTTCTTTGCCCTTTTTCGCGACATGTAAATTAACTCCAATTCGAAGCAATGTAAAAGGAAATCAAAGTGAGAAGAAGAAAAAGAACATAGTTTGGAGAATAAGAGATGTTGGAACATATTAAGGTTCCAAATTTGAATTGAATCTAACTTGAATTAGGACTCATTCGATTTGAGAGTTTTCATTTTAAGGTGAGCGAGCTTTTCACAATTTAACCTCACGTTTAATTGAAACTAACGTGTTAACAATAGATAACGCTGTAAAAATCGTTGTGTAAAATCGAAAAATTTCAAAAGTTTGTGTATTTAATGGGAAACAAAAATTATTTCATGTATTAAATGAAGATTCAAAATAGTTCGTGTATTTTATTAGCAAATAAAATTTAGTTCGTGTATTTTTAAGGAATTTTGTTTTCACAATATACCAAGTGTTTAATTAAACATTAACGACATTGCCAACTTCCGTTAAACATAGTTAACGCCGTCTAAAGTGATGCGCAAATCCTATGAATTTTAAAAATTTGTGTATTTAATAGATAACGAAAATTAGTTCATGTATTAAACAGGGAACCATAATAGTTTGTGTATTTTATTAGCAAATGAAAATTAGTCTGTGTATTTTTAAGGAATTTTCTCTAATATGAAAACAAACATATATAAGTCATTTGTTTACTAAAGTTATCTAAATGGAAATAGAGATAAATAAACGAACATAATTTCATTTATATGATTCTTGAGGATGGAAAAATGAACAATTTCGAATAATATCCAATTAAACAATTTGAATGGATCATCTGAATGAAGATGACAAATGGACAAACGAAAACCATCTACCTCGGAATTCTTCATTCCGATTTTGCATTATATACAAAATTCAAAATGCGCTCACAAAGTGTTTGACGGTGAATTTACATTTGAGAGTGTTTTGTTCAAGTTCGTTGTGTTGATTCTTATAGGTGGGTCCATCCAACATTCCATGAGATATACAAAAGTCATTTGTATATGCAGATCATAAACACAGAAAACAATGTTACAAATTGAAATACCCTTTAGCTTCTCTGTCATGGCTGTTGTTGAAGAGGTGAATCTTCAGGTGATTGACATCAGCCGTCTAATAGATCGAGCCGATGAGCCGAGGAGGAGAGAAAAAAATATAAATACAAAATTTTTGATCATAGTCATAAATAATGTTTTAGAACGGATCTTAACATCAAGATTTTGGTTGTTGTCAAAACAATGCTTTGTTATGAATTGTCAAAACAATTTGGTACAGATTGAATAAAGTTATCCTCTCTAGAGAAAGATCAATAATTAGTATTCTACCAGTTTTTAGAAAAAAAATATCTCATGAAAATATACTTTTTTATATATTTTCTGTGAAATCTGATTATGTATAAATGATATACTGAAAATTATATATTTTTGAAATAGAGAGTATTTTAATGAATAGAGTAACATTATGATTCAATATCATCAGTTTTAAATCTGTTTATTGGCACGTGGTCTCGAACATTGAACTTATTCTAGAAGTCAACAGAAGCTGAGGCTAACCATCAGATTGGTCAATTTATTGCACAAGTACCAAAAGACTTGTTTATCTAGCAGCAATACAACAATTGTTATTGACTGATTGTTCCATGCGATGCGTCTATTTGATGGAAATAAATGCATGTGCTTAAGGTCGTTTCCACGTATGAGCCGACAAAGGCTTCAGGGTAACAGTTAGTCTGTTGGACCTAGTTCTAATCATCACATGCTTTGTTTTTACTTTCTAATTATTTTTGTCGACAAGATATGTTTTTGTTTTCTAATTTTATTGTCAATGATTTGCTTGACCAATCCGGGACAGAAACCACCTCCATATTTTCACACTTGTACCACAAAATTAAATTGATACACGGTCAAAGTCATGGTGGACATGGTGTAACTGATGAACTATGTTATTATTTCAGTTTCGTAAGATAAATTGTTTTCACCGTTCTTGTCAACCCTCCTCATAATCAACTCTTGAAGGCGTCGCGAAACAAAAATAATGATACTCCATTTATATTATATTAACTGTCGTTCTATAATTTTTTTTTTATTACAAAATAAACATTATTTTTGACTTTTAATACAAAAATTTATTAATTTTATACTGTAATTTATTTTTTATAAATTGAAATATGTTTAGTTGTATAGGTAATTATGTTTCTATAAAAATATGTAAAATTAATTATTTTTTAATCCGTATGCATAAAATTAAAGTGACACTTAATATGAAACATATGAAATATATCGCTTTAAAAAAACTTTCCACGAGATGGATGTTTCATAATGGCTATCCAAAGACTGGTCCGGAGCAAAGGTAAAAGAAAGAATCGATCACTTAAGGCATCATAATTTTAAACGGACATCACAATTTTTAAAGATAATTTAGTTATATGTAGGACACTATCACCAAGTATTGGTAGTCTAGTAATAATTTTTAGAGAGTTTGGTGAGTATCCACATTAGTTTTAGATTCGATTCCTGCTGAAAATTAAATTATCGTTGTTTGGCTAGTCTAAACTTAGGTTTCGATCCAAATTGTTAACATGGTGAACTGCAACAGACGATCAATACACTTACTAAAATTAGTCGGAAATTATTCCAAAATTGGGTCAAAGAGTATAGG